CCCCCCCCCATCCCCTGAATCGCAGAGAGAACTCTGGATGTGAGTCTAGAGACCTAAACACCCCTCTTGTTTGTGCTGTGAACTAGCTTTTTGCCTGTGGGCAAGTTACTTCACCTGTCTGAGCCTCAGTGCCCTCTTTATAAAAGGAGGAAGGTGAATCAGATGATTTCAAAAGCCCTACTTAGCTTCAAAATCTGAGTCATCGATGACGCAATTGTGGTATTACTGAATCCTATAACAGAATACAAGGTGGTAATCGTGGAATCAGACTCATAAATAGGTCAATGGACCACTAATGTTTACTTCTGTGTTATATGAAGTATTATGTTGAATGAACTGTGGCCAAAGGGGCCATCGTTTTGATATGGGGAAAGGGGCACTGAAATAGAGTAGTAATGGTATTTCTGAGTTGAAAGACGTCTAGGGAATGTCACTAAAAAGAAAGGGTTTTAAATTCTTACATTAGGTAAACTAAAATTTGTTTCTAGTTTGGATAAGGAAGGAGAATGTGACTTAAAATCCTGAATTCATCAAGTTTTTGCCAGAACCAGTTCATGGTCCTGAAAGTGAATTTCGCAGATTTACTGATGTAGAGATTTGCTCTTTTTCATAGGAGTGGACTTAAGAATCTTTGCAAATAGCTTCTTTTTTTTACTGAAGAGAGATTGTCTACTACAACTTTCTTCTTGTGTTCTGGTCATAGCAAGTTAATTGATGGATTCTTCCATACATTCCTTCTGTATGGAGGAATTTCTTTCCTTTCTTGTTGTTAATGGTATTTCCAAAGTCTTTTTAAAAATCATTTTGTATTTCATTACCCTCATAGAAAAAATGATACCTTATTCAATTATTTACTATTGTATCAACAATCTAATACCTTTTTCCTTACCCAAATAATAGCTGCACATATTCTTATTCTAAAAGATTCAAATAATAGCATATATATTAGCAAAATACGTGTCTCCTGTCTTCACATATTTTTCTCCTCAGGTTGTGTGGTGTGGTAAAGCATGTTGTGAACCCCTCAGAATGTTCTTCCCCCGAGAGATGCATCTTAGCCTACCTCTACGATCTCTATGTGTCATGTAGCCACCTCAGAAGTAAATTTGGAGACCTCTTCAGGTGGGTAGAAGAAAATCAATAGGAATGGTATCATGCCTGTATTTGTTAGTGACCCGACTGTGATATTGTCATCCTTGTTAATAATGAATGTTAATCATATCTGCCAGAATTCATATTGAATTATCTTTCATTGTAGCTTTAACCTCCTTTTGCCAATTACTATGCATGTTTAGCTCTGATTGCAATTCTGAGATAAAGTTCAGAGTAAACATTCTATAGTTTGCACTTGCTAGTACCTCACCTGGAACGTTGTTTGTGTTTGCATGTTTACTTTCTCACCGCCTTGGCTTCTCTGCCTCTTTGACTGTCTTACTGCAGATGGTATCCCTGAGTGCCTATGATTCTGTGCATCTTAGCACCTGCTGTGCCCCCACCAGTAGACAGGCGCTAGAAAATACATACTTAATGATATTTTGAGGAAATTTTGATGATTAATTGTGGGTGGGGGGAAGGAGATGGTAATGGCTGCAAAATAAATTTGTCATCTAGAAGGAAGGAAAGAACCATCAATTACAGTTACTTTTTTCTGAATTCTGGGAGCTCTGTCTTCCTGGTTTGTGTGGAATGTGACTACTGGCCATTGCTTTGTCACTACTGCCAGCTCTTGGTTGGACTAGTGCAGAGTCATACCTGGTTTCTCTGCTTGCATCCCTGACTCTCTTTAGCATATCCTCAGCATACCTACAAAAGTCATCCTTTTCAAACAAGAATAACTTGCAGATATCTAGTGGCGGCTTATCTACACGAATAAATTCAAAGTCCCAACTGCCTTCAGGATCTGCTATATATAATCTCTTCTTCTTTCCTTCTGTTTATGCCATTCTAACCACATGGACCTCTTTACCGGTCTTCACACACTCTGAGCACGCTCTCTCTTGGGGCTTTTGCACTTACTGTTACCTCTCTAGTAATCTCTCCCCTGTTACTTGGATGTCCATGCCCACAGTACATTCATGGCTCTACCTTCCTGACCACCCTATTTTATTTTTTTTTTTTAATTTTTTTCTTTCAACGTTTATTTATTTTGGGGACAGAGAGAGACAGAGCATGAACGGGGGAGGGGCAGAGAGAGAGGGAGACACAGAATCGGAAACAGGCTCCAGTCTCCGAGCCATCAGCCCAGAGCCTGACGCGGGGCTCGAACTCACAGACCGCGAGATCGTGACCTGGCTGAAGTCGGACGCTTAACCGACTGCGCCACCCAGGCGCCCCCCACCCTATTTTAAATAGCAACCTCTTACTCCTCCTCTCTGTCATTTTCTGAATCTTAGCATTTGCTACCACTGGGTAACTTACATATTTATTTATGGTCTGGCTTCTTTCTCAACTGTAAGTTTCATGAAAGGAGGAACTTCATATTTTCTTCACTGCCATATTATGATACCTTGAAGAACATTTATTTGGCTCCTAGTAGGCACCGCAGAAAAGCTGGTGAATGGAAGATAAATGCAAAAAAAAAACCATGATATTTTTAATGGTATTGATAGGGAAAGAATGGGAGAGTATCATCATGAAATGAGCTAGGTTTCCAAATAATTGCTCGTAGAACATTTGAGTGGGTCTCAGGAAATATGTTTCTACAGAAATGATATAATAATAACCGTGCTCATATTCTTACTTACAGAGAGCTTTAAGTTTCAGTTTACAGTTTTCAGATGGCTTTCTCATACATGATTTAGTTCTCGCAACAGCCCTGTTTTATTTAAATAGTGAACTTCCCAAGACCCCCAGTAGCCTGTTTGACCCCTAGTGTTCCCTCAGGGTAGTGCAAGTATGTTAACTCAGTGAATTCAAGTCCTGTGCAGTGAGTGTGTGGAGATTTAGGAGACCAACAGTAAGCTGAAGATCAGTACAATGTTACATCATAAGATGTGGCGCTGGTTAACGTTTCCTCAATTAAAGAAATGGAGGACAGGTGCAACCCTCAGGAATCCCTGATGTCAGGCATTATTTGTAGCTTGGGATTAAGAAGAATGGTGAAACAAAACCTAGATACTTGGTGAGATTTCTCTTAGTATGCTAATAAAAACAGTTTTAATAATTATATCTGTAGGAGCATTTATAATAAAGTTGTGTAAGAGGATTATTTGGGAGAAAAAGCACTGATGATATCTTGCCCTGATTGTGCTGGTACTTAGCGGGCCAAGTACTGTTCTGGGTCCTTGCCATCAAGATCTTTAATCTGCCCACCACCTCAGGAAGTAGAAATGATTGTTCTGACAATAAATGATTATTCCTCATTCATAAGTTAATAAATGATGAAACCTAGATGTGAGCATAAGTCATTTTGGCTTCAACGTGTGTGTTATTTTATTACTCTGTCAGGTTTTTCGGATGCAGGCAATTTCAGAAGAAAATGTTTGAGTTGGTTCCTTATTTCCCTAGATGCCTGCAACAGAGGGTGGTAAGAATTTGAGAGTGACTAAGATGACAGCTACCTTTTTATTAAAACAATGAAGTGCATTTGGACAGAGTGTAATACATGATACAGGAAGTCTAGAAACAAAGAGTAAGGACACTTCATGAGCCACAGAATTCAGAAAAATTATGCACTCTCAGCTGGAGGTAGCAGAGGGTCAACTTGAGAGAAGTCTCTAGACTGAAAGAAAAATGGGGGCTGAATCTTATAAAAATTGAGAAAGAAAAGCAGAATTCTTCTGGGTTCTAAAGTCAGACATGGATAGATTGGTAGAATTAAGTTGGAAAAGAGAGAACCCTTTACTATTTGCTGAGGTCTGTTTCATTAAAATGACACTCAAGATATTGGGAGGTTGAGGGAACCAACGAAGCACAGTTTGTTTTTGTTTCATTTCTAGTGAGAAAGTAAAACAAATTAAGAACTATTGCTGTGTGAGAATGAATGAAAAGTTGAGTGCAAAGCGTGGCAAGAGTTAAGACAGTAAAAAGGGAGATGTTTAAAAGCACTGGTGACAGTTCATTGTTCATCATTTTGAACAGGTCATACTCCAGATGGCAAGCTTACAGGCTTCAGTCACATTTGACACGTTTTTATATAAGTTGTCTGCCAAGAAAGAGAGTATAGAACCCTGTAATTACTGCCACTTAGGGGGTGGCTTTAGTCCTGTCTGTTAGACCGGTATTTCCCAGTCAATTAAGAAGGTGGAATCACAAATGACTAATGTGACTCTTCTCCAGGAATACCTTACATTTGCTGCCATTGAATCTGTCCTTAAGTGAAATCGCTTTCTAGTTACTCTTGTTTTATTTTTTAACTCTTTTCCTTGTAACCTCAGTAGTGCCTGTTCAAAAGTTAAGCAAACCATATATAATAATGTGATGCCTGCAAATTCTAACTTGAGATGGGATCCGGACTTCATGATGGATTTTATTGAGAATCCTTCAGCTCGTAGCATCAATTACTCAATGCTGGGCAAGATCCTTAGTGACAATGCAGCCAATCGCTACAGCTTCGTCTGTAACACGCTCATGAATGTATGTATGGGCCATCAGGATGCTGGAAGGTGAGCTGGGTTACCCTGGAATTCACAGTTAACCGTCTAGTCCTTGCGTTGGTGCTACTTTTAAATTAATGTCTTTAGTAATTGCCTGGGCTGACATTTGGATGTTGTTTGCTCCCCCCCCCCAACCCCCATTTATTCCTGATTTCATCTCTGCTCTGTACTGTGATTTCCTTAGCCTGACAGAGTATGCTGGCTGATTGCTCTGGCATGAGATGCTTTAGATATAAACTATAACTTGTCTATCCATTTACAAAAACATAATAAAAACATAAATTAAAAAATCCTTATATTTAAAAACACTGTGTTTTCACCTACCTAAATTACATAGTCTTTAATTTTACGTTGCCCTTAACAGTGGAAATTCTGAAATCAGATTTGTTCCCAGGTCAAAAATATGTTAATTGGCATCTGTACTGATTATTGTTTGTGGCTCAACAGCATCAAATATTAAACAGTATCTGAAGCCTGTTACTTGTATCTTTGCTTTCAGGTTCTGCTAGGTTATTTAACAAGTGGGTATTTATTAAATCTTTGAATCTTAGAAATGAATGACTTGTTTGATGGTAGTGAGATATGGGTTCATTAAGTATATCACATTTGCGTGCTGCTATCCTGTTCTACTCTGTTCTTTTTCCTCCTTCTAGGATTAACGACATAGCCAATTTCTCCTCTGAGCTGACAGCTTGCTGCACTGTTCTTAGTTCAGAATGGCTGGGAGTTCTGAAGGCTCTTTGTTGTTCTTCAAATCATGTGTGGGGGTTTAATGATGTACTTTGCACTGTAGATGTAAGTTTTCTTTTTCATTTAAAAACTCATCTGTGCAATTAAATATTTAGTTAGTAATTATTTTTGATTGACTGAACCAACCCTTATCTGAAATGTGTTTTTTTCTTTCTCTGCCCAAAGGCAGTAAACAAGAATGTGGTTGCCAAGGATTAAATAAATGAAAAAAGTAAATAAATACAATAGCTTAATCAACAGCAGAGATGCCAAGAGTTTCCTGGTTTGTTCGCTGAAATTTCTTACATACAGTCTCTTCAGAGCTATTGGCTCATATTATTTATCAAGTGCCTTGAGTTCCTCATGGTACAAGACATAATTTACCAACAGGAGTTTGCATTTTGAAGAGAACCACTTTGTTTTTTAAAGATCAAGGTGCATTCTGAGAACATAGGTTTCATTAGGCTGCCTAAGAATGCCCAGGCCCAGAACCATTGGCATGTCTTTCCTAGTGATTGTGCCTGAAAGTTAGTGAAAAGATACTCAGTATGTGTCACTGCTTTCTTTCACATATCCTGTTGTACCTGTGATGTGTAAATTTCTTAAAAATCTGTCATGATTCTGTTTTTCCTATCACCATCTTGGAGTGATCTGTGTTACATGTTGGTGTATCTTTGCATTTTAAACCCCACCTTCCAGTTAGAGGCTTAATTCCTAGTTCTGGTATCTCAAGACTAGATGGATTATTCTACTCCATTCTGTAGATACCCAAGATACACACACACACACACCACACATGGATATATGTAACTCATATCTGTGGCCTGCTTTTCCAGACAAAAATATCCTAATTTTTATTGTTAACATAATTCTTTAACCTCTTGGTTGTTTTCTGTTATACTTTACCTTACCTTTGCTTTGTTCCCTCATCTGTAACATTGGGATTACTAAAAGTATGAGCCTTATGGTGATATGCTATTAAGTGAGGTCATCTTTGTAAATCACTACACATGATTATTGGCATATAGTACAACTTAACGTGAGGGCTGCTGCTTATTTCTTACTGTTTTGTGCCAAAGTCTTATGAGGTCTCTATAGGTAGAGGATTCATTCTGAATGAATTTATTTTCCTTCTCTTTTTTCATTCTCTCTCAAATTTAGGAGTCGGTTGGAAATTTTCAGAGTTGCTTTTTAAGACTAATTTAATTATATTATAGAATCCCTAATAGTTATCCCTGAAAAGAACTCTTAAAACATCAGTGAGGCCTATTTTTCAATTAGGGGAATCTCCGTGTTTTTTTTCCTGCTCTCTCACAATCTTACCCTTAAATGTTAATGCCGTGTTCTTCTAAAAAGTTTTCCTTATACTACATCTTATTAGGAATTTCGTGATTTTGTTTTTGTTTTGTTCAGTTATGTGTACTCAAGGAGAAACTCAATATCTTTTTGTGGCATTGTGATGTAGGTAAACCTCATCCTTTGTCTTATAACGTAAAAATAGGCCTTAGAGGATGATAATCCTGATGTGTAATCATTTCCCTCTGTTGGTTCATTTTGGGATTTGTGATCTTACTGGTATTGCCTACATTTTCTTAGATATTAATCTTAGATATTACTTGAAAGGGCGTTGGGTATTAAAACATGTCAATGTTTTTCTTGAAGGTGAGTGACCTTTCATTCCATGATTCATTAGCTACTTTCATTGCTATTCTGATAGCACGACAGTGTTTCTCCCTGGAGGACGTCGTGCAGCACGTCGCACTTCCCTCTCTCCTAGCAGCAGGTACGACGCATCCAGAAGGGCTCTTGTTATTTGTTGTCTTGGGATGGTTTCCAGCTATTACAACAACACCGTGAACATACTTTTTAAGGCTACATGCCTTGGGCAGTGGTGTGGAGTTGATGTAAAGTTAGTAGGATTATAAGTGTTGTTCTGTACAAAGTCCTATGGATCCCTATAGAAACGGTCATTTTTAAGGAAGCAGTCTGCCTCCTCTGGAAAGCATAGCCAGTGCCTTCCTTCTTACCGTAAGGAGCATTTATATTTAAGTTATTCTAGAAAAGTTAGCTTCAGAGAAAACCTGAAGACATGTCAGTCAATCAATTGGAAAACTTGCTTTGAAAATCTTTCCTAGCTTGTGGAGATGCAGATGCTGAGCCGGGGGCGAGAATGACATGCCGACTCCTGCTTCATCTCTTCCGAGCTCCCCAGGCCTGCTTGTTACCTCAAGCAACCGGTGAGCCGACAGCTATAAAATCCCCAACTGCATGTTCATTTGGAGGTACAGATTCTAAAATGTCCACGTGGGCTGTCCATTCTGCTATTTCCTCCCTGAGTTTGGTGACCTTGCTTTTGGGGGGTGATGAAGGAATGCACCACTGCCATCGAGAGGGCTGTCAGCACCCTTGATTTATGCAATATCAGGATGTATTGAGAAACTAAAATCGAGTTAATAAACAATAAAAATACTTTTGCTCTGAGGCCAACCCACGCTGGTGGTCAACATGATCCTCAAACCTGTAAACCACATCATAGCAGCTTAGGGCAATGGTGAGTCATTTATTCTTTTACTAAGGTAAGAGGAATAAGGTAAGAATTCGAGGGGTGTTAGTGAAGTGTGTTTCTGAAGATCATTTTTATACAGGGGTGTGTGTGTGCGACAATCAGTATAAATAGATGAAAGTTCTAATATATTTTTTGATACATCTCTCCAAGGAGCAACGACGTTGTTTTCATAATTAAAAAGCAAAGGTTAAGAAAGGAATAGTGACAATGTTTTGTAGTGAATCCAGGAAGCATCCATTATAGCTAGCTAAGGACAATTAAGTACCTATAGTCTAACAATGACAGGCTCTGCTGATTGTAAATGGTTACAAAAGATTGTTAACGATGGTGATGAGACCATTAAAGGTTTGTTGTTGTTGTTCTCATAGGCAAACCTTTCCCTGGAATAAGATCATCTTGTGATAGACACCTCTTAGCCGCCGCTCACAATAGCATTGAAGTGGGAGCCGTGTTTGCTGTCTTAAAAGCAATTATGATGCTTGGTAAGACTATCCTGGCACTAAACTGGGTTAATCACCAGAAACAAAGGAAAAATAATTTGTATTCATGTTCAACTCTAATTCAGATTATTAGAACATCATTCTGTTTTGCTGTCCTGGCAAAAGTAGTTGGCTTTCTCCAAGTCCAAGATCAGCTGGACTCTGAGATGTCTACTCCTTACCTACAATTCTGGGGGTATTTAAATATAACACTTTTTTGTTGTTGTTGTTGGATGTTATTTTAACTGGAAGATATTTCATTCTGATGTAATATAGATTCTCAGACCCATCGGGTGGTTTTATCTTTATTTGTTGACATAAATGACATTTTGTAATGGATCAAGATGAAATGATGATCTAACCAAAGGTTTAAATTTTGTATTATGTACCAGGAGTAAAACACAAGAAAACCTGGGTTTTAATCTTAGCATTTTTCTTTCACTGTGATCCTGAACAAGTTTATAAACTTCTACCTTAGGTTTTTCATGAATCAGGTAATAATTGCAATGATATTGGTATTATTGATAAAACAGTATTAGATACCGGAATTTTTTAACATTTAATCTATAATGTCCAAGGCATCCTTTATACTCTTAATGACATATATATTCCTGGAGTAGTAGCACTACAGTTTCTGTTCATTTCTAGGGCAATACTTAAACACATTTTTGTTTTATAAATCGTGGAGGATTTAAATAAGTAGGTAATTTTGAGTCCCCACTGCCTAATTACAATGTTGACAACCCTCTTTTGGCCTTGACTAAACAAAAGTTACCTCTTATGTTCTGAAGGAGCTCTCTTTTATTAGGACAGAGACTGTGGGGTAAATAGGAATTGTTTTAGAGGAGTCTTAACATATTTGAATGCTTTATACTCCTGTTTGAATGTTATTGGGTGATGATGAAGGATTAACAGGATTTTCACTAAAAAATTAATAAAAGTTCACCTTAAAGAATTATATATATTATATATTCATACATAATATTTACGTATGGTTTCTAATTTTTGCCATAGTTTAATGTACAGTTCAAGTTTGAAGAAAATGTGCATATGTATACATTCATTTTATGTGTGTGTGTATATATATATATGTGTACACACACACACACACACACATAAATTTCAAAGGATGCCCTTGGAAATGCCCATGAATTTTGCAATAAAAGGGAAAAGTAGAGCCACATGGAGGGACATAACCTCTGTTCTGAGTTTAGGAGCTTGTACTATTGTATATCCAGCATTAAATGCTCATTTCAGTAAGTAAAATTTCTCTTCTCTGATGATATTTGAAAAAAAAAAAATGGCTGGTCAATCTATTTAATAAAAATGTAGGGACCATGAACTGCTCACCACCCTCCCCCGCCCCGTGTTATCTCTAACACCCATCAGAGAAACTAGATAGTAGGTTTTGAAATTGTAGCTTTTCAACAAACTAATATAGGAAGTGTGAATGCAGAATGGATAGACATTGAATGGCAGAAACCAAGATGAGCGCAATCTAGGCACCTGCTCCTTTGTTTGCAGGAGTGGTCTAGTTCCACTAAAATTTGCCAACATCTATAAAGAGTCACATAATTGTATTTTAATATTCATGCATAATAATCAGTTCTTCTTTGTTTGGCTCTCCTTGACCTTTTTAATCGACCTCCGTTCTTAATAGACAGAGGATGATTCAGGTCTGAGAAGCCAGGATCAGGTCATTTGGATGTCAGCAGAGCCTTGGACCGAGTAGTCACTGAACAGTCTTTTCTATTTGTTCTGTTATCTGTACAGTTACGGAAGGTTCTAGAACAGCCTCCTATACCTTCTCTGTCATCCTAACATCTAAACTAAATGAGAATCTGAATGAGGATTTCCTAGGCAGAGGTGTTTGTTTCTTTGATTTTGTTTTTATGTAAGTTTTAATTTATCTACCTCACCCTATTCTAACCAGTGTTCTTGCAAGTCCTGTCCATCAGGATCTATTTTGAGTTTGGGTGATAAAACTGTTATATAGAAAGTGGTTTCTAATTTATGTAGTAGTTTTAACTTAAGGTATAGAAATAGTTGTTTTATTTCACCAAACGTTGGAGAAAGCATGCTAAATTTTGGTACACATCTTTCAGCTCCCAGGGACCTCTGTTGAATTAAATAAACTCTTGTGAATTTTAATAAGGAATGTATGATTACATATAATCAGATATTGATGACTTGAAAATTATTACTTATTCCTCCCAAGGACTTCTGTTGAATTAAATAAACTCTTGTATATTTTAATAAGGAATGTATGATAACATATAATCAGATATTGATGACTTGAAAATTATTGCTTATTCCTCCCCTCCTCCTACCATTTTATAAATAAATACTTACTAATCTATTCTGATTTTGCAAATTTTTCAGCAGAGTCAAAACTTTTTCTTGGTTGACCTGTGGGTTGTAAAAAGCTTTTTGCACTGACCTGGGCTTCATTTTACTCACAGTGGGCAGTAAGGGACTCATCTGAATTCATTTGTTGTTTCCAGGAAATTTTCTTGTTCAAAGCTTATGATCCCTGTGGGTAAACAGGTGAAAGTTTAGAGGCTCTGTTGTCATTTGGCAGTCTTTGCTACCAAATTATATTATTCTCTCACTTTTAAAATAGAATAGTGATTTGTCTGTCATGGCTAGAGAAGATTTCTTAATTCTAGCCTTTCACACATTCTCCGTTTTGTCCCCCAGGAACTTTGCTATGAAGGAAACCTTTCCTTAGTTCCATTTGACTCAGTAAATTAGAGGTTGATCTGGTGAGGTTTTCTCATTTGGATGTTTACAGAGAGGAAAGTGAGAGACTTGGGTTATTCAATGAATGCCCTATGTTTTAGGGCTTCCTTAGTATGCATTGCCCTTTTCCATTCCCAGGGAAATAAATCTCTCTTGTCAAGAAGTTGATAGTAAGGTGGGCTAAGGCAAAACTTTTCTCTTGACCTATGGATAGAAAATAAGTCATTGTAAGAGAAGAAATGGAAAAGGGACACCTAGAAGGGTGAGTAACCCATTTTTTCCTTGTCTATAAGTGAAATGAATTTGAATATTGAATACATTCATGCTTGAAATATTGGTGAAATCAATGTTCTATGATTATTAAATATGATTCATAATGGCCTTTTTATTTGGTGATTGCATACTTAATTCTGTAAACAAAATAAGGAGTAAGTCTTGCATTTCCCTTTTTTTTCTCGTGCGTATTGAAACTTCTCTGGGTCCTTGCATTTATTCTCCTGATCGATTCTCTTTCTTGCTGAACATTGGGCTATGCCATAAAGATGCCAGTCACATATATTAAATCCCCGAAGGCTTGCTTCATTAACTTCTCAAGTATTTGGCAATATTTGGAACTTCCGTGATTTTGCTTTTGTGATTCTATTATTTAGGAGATGCCAAGATTGGCAATAACAATGTCAGCTCTTTAAAGAATGATGACTTCACCATGAGAGGTTTACGGCGTGATGGGAATGCTGATGATATCTGGACTGCTTCACAAAATTCAAAATCCTGTGGGAAAAGCATTTCCATAGAAACTGCCAATTTAAGAGAATATGCTAGATATGTACTGAGGACTATCTGTCAACAGGTATTTTTCAGTTTTAATTTGACTTGATCTATGAATATATAATTGTTTTTGTGGAGATGCTCACTGTTATAGGAAGCTTGCACATCGTTGGTCCTTTTCTTCCTGCTAACTTTGTTTGGCAAAAAATTCAGATTTGTTGTAGAGTTGCAATAATAGTAAAGAACTCTGGTGTATACCTTGTATACAGATTCACCAATTTTTTACATTTTTCCACATTTGCTTTATGATTCTATTTGTGAATGTGGATGCATATACTTTCTAAGATTTTGCTGAAGCTTTTGAGAGTAGATGGCATATATTATTAATCTTGAGTCTTTAATATTTCAGTGTTTATTTATAATAGAACCAAATGCAGTCATCAAAAGTCAGGTAATTTAGGGGTGCCTGGATGGCTCAGTCAGTTAAGCATCCGCCTTCGGCTCAGGTCATGATCTCACGGTTCGTGAGTTTGAGTCTCATGTCGGGCTCTGTGCGGACAGCACGGAGCCTGGAGCCCACTTTGACTTCTGTGTCTCCCTGTCTCTGTGTCCTTCCCATGCTCATGGCTGTCTCTCTCTCTCAAAAATAAATAAATATTTAAAAAAAAATTTTTAAACATAGAACATTTAGCTTTTGGAACAGTAATTTTTTTCTCACCTGTAGGTCACATTCAGTTTTGTCATTTGTCCCAATAATGTTGGATTTGTCTGAAATTTCCCATACATTAGCTTTAGATTATGCCTTCTTGGCCAAAATGATACAGAAGTAATGTTGTGTTCTCAGGTAATCACACTTGAAGTCACACAATGTCCATTTGCACATCGCTGGCAGCAATCAGTTTGATCACGGTGTCTCCATTGTATGGTTTCGAGATTTCTCTGCTATGTGGTTTTTTCCCCCCCTTGCAATCAGTAAACAGTCTTTGGGGAGACACTCTGAGACGATACAAATATTTTGCCCCTCATCAAACTCCACCACATCTATCATTCATTTTGATTCTTCCCCAAACCAGTCTTTACCAGTCTTTACATGTTGCAAAATGGTGGGTTTTTTTTTTCCCCACAGCTCCTCTACAGTTAACAGTTTGCATTCTATTCTAAGGAAAGCATACCCTCATTATTCTTATTTATTATCCATATGTATTATAATACACTGTCCTTAGCTATTTTCATGTTCATATTGTCCCAGCTTTTTCCAGTGGAACCTTTTCATCCTGGCTTTTAAGTTATTTTGACATGTCTCCATCTCCCTCTTGCCCTCCACCAAATATTTTCTTAGTTCCTGACCCCTATTGTACTTTCCCTGTCCCATACCTGGAATTAATCATTCCTCCAAGGAACTCTCATTCTAGTTAATCAAGTATGGTATTTAGAAGCCAAGATATGGACACTGTGGTGCTCATTACTATGGGCAACGTATGTTCGTTGCCTCTGGACCCTTTCAGCAGGCAGAGTTAGGAGGAAATATATCCGTATACATAAATGTGTGTGTGTATATTCTTGAGTTCATACTGATATGTCTAGAATTAGTAACTCCACTTAGTTCTTTGCATTCCCCCATTCCATATTAATTTTGTCTTTTCCAGTAACATCAACCATTTACTCATTTGCTTAATTCTACACTACACCTGGAATGGTTTCAGAATTGCTACACCTATACCACTAGGAAAAACGTAAAAGGAGTTGAAGATTTGTTGGTAGTTCTTTTTTCCCTCAAGGTTTATAGTATTGTGTTAAAAAGTTTTTTGAACTTTCTCCTTCAATATGGATATGTTACTCATTTGAAATAGAACGAATTTCATTTGTTTCTGTTTGCATTCAGTTTAGATTCCCATTTTTTTCTCCCCACCTCAACTCCATCTTTAGAAGAACATGCATCTACAAGTCAACTGTATAAAAAGGTGTACTTAGTGATATGTCCTTCGTCTGTTGTCTCTTCTATCCTGGGTTTTTTCCTGCCCCGGGTGATCAGTGTTCTTATTTTCTGATTTATCTTCCTTTTTTTTTTTTCTTTTAATTTATCTTTTCTTATAAGAAGTATAGTGTACCATATATACTATTTTCCATTTTAGTGGAGATGTTAACAGGGTCATGTTTTTATTAGGGCATATTGCAACTATGTTAAAAGTTTGCTACATAGTTTTATAGATAATGAGAAGCAGTTGTTTATTGGTTCCACTATGAGTGTCCACCAGAATCACCAAGGGTCAGACAGTTTTAATGTTTGTTTAATGGGTACCACCATCAGATATTTATTTGTTGGAGCCTGGGCAATGGAATTTTAGCAAGCTCCATAGGTGACTTTAATAGACACTCAGTATTGAATTACCGGTATAGTTAAGAAACAGCCTTCCTCTGAAACAGACCTGGGTTCAAATTGGACTCTGTTGATGATTTCTTACCCATCTAGTATAAGAGTTTGCTTTTAAAACAATGATGAAGAAAAAGTGATAAGTGTTCAAACTGGTTGAAACTCTATGGAGGGCAATTGGCCATATGCATTTATCGTCTTAAATTTTGGTATACTCCTTGACCCAACAATTGTACTTTTATGAAATTATCCTGAGAAAATGATTGTGTAGAAAGCAGATGTGCACACACGTTTACCATAGTATAAAAAATGTCTGTTTTCTAAGTGTTGTACTATATTTTATGCAGTGGGATATAGTATGCATTATATAAAAATGAAGACATGTTTTAATATAGAATCATTACCATTATATGCCAAGTTATAGAAAATGATTACAAAACAATACCTAGAGTAAGGCTCTATTTTCCAGTTGAGAATGCGCACCAATGTTCATTACTCTCTTTAGCTTTCTTTTCTTTCCTTATTTGCATATCTGTTCTTCAGATTTAAAAAAAAAAATTTTTTTTACATTTATTTATTTTTGAGAGACAGAGTGTGAACAGGAGAGGGGCAGAGAGAGAGGGAGACACAGAATCTGAAACAGGCTCCAGGCTCTGAGCTGTCAGCACAGAGCCCATGCAGGGCTCGAATCCATGAACCGTGAGATCATGACCTGAGCCGAAGTTGGACACTTTACCACCTGAGCCACCCAGGCACCCCTCTTCAGACTTTTTAAACCAATGCCCTGCTTTGTATTTTTAAGAAGTCACAATACCAGAAAGTAAAAAAAAAAAAAATTTCCCTCTACTTTTTTCATATAATTTTTTAAAATTAGATTTCTGTCTGCTTTATCTGTGTATCATGTTTTAGTGCATGTTACATTCACACAAGGGAAATCTCTGCCTATCAACCTAACTGCCGATTTTTTTTTTTTTTTTTTTTTTTTTTTTTTTTTTAGGAATGGGTAGGAGAACATTGCCTAAAAGAACCTGAAAGATTGTGCACAGACAAAGAGCTTATATTGGACCCTGTGCTTTCAAATATGCAAGCACAGAAATTATTGCAGCTTATTTGTTATCCTCATGGTATTAAAGAATGTACGGAGGGCGACAATCTGCAGAGACAGCACATTAAGCGCATTCTTCAGGTGAGTTAGTGATTAGAGTCTAAAGATTATGTGTCTATCGCGTAACACATTTTCTGTGATTTTAACAAGAGTAGTTGAACCTTTTTTTTTTTCCTTTCTCATTGCTAATTCTTGACCTCAGTTAATTCTGATGTTTATTCTCTCAGTTTTCTTTTCTTTATAGTTGTCACACTCCATTGCTAGGTGAATGTTGATAATGCAAATGGTATACAATCATTATAAATATTGATCTTTTTAGTCTACTGTATTTACATGAGACATAAGCTTTCTGGAGGAATAGTCTTAAATATATAATTCAAAAAATATTGAAATCATTTTGTAATGGGTTTGCTTAGAGAAATAGATTTTGAGAGAAAAATGCTTGTTTTATTTCTAGTGACTGGCTGAGTGTTGCACATTATTTTAATGTTGTTTCTTATTTCTTTGTGTCTACAATGAAAATATGTAATGGACGCGGAAGCCATTTGATCCTGGCAAATCCCTTTATTATGTATGATTATTTCCTTTTTTTTTAATATTTATTTATTTTTGAGAGAGAGTGAGCACATGTGCGTGTAAGTGGAGAAGGGGCAGAGAGAGAGGGAGTCACAGAATCCGAAGCAGACTCTAGGTTCTAAGTTGTCAGCACAGAGCCCATTGTGGGGCTCAAACCCACGGACTGTGAGATCATGACCTGAGCTGAAGTCGGACGCTTAACTGGCTGAGCCACCCATGCTCCCCTGATTATTGTTTCTTGAGAGAGGGAATACTGCAAAGAATTATTATATTTTCAGATATGTTCAGTATTCCTAATGTGTTAATTCTTATTGTTTTCCCCAGAATCTTGAGCAGTGGACGCTGAGGCAGTCCTGGCTAGAACTTCAGTTAATGATCAAACAGTGCTTGAAGGACCCTGTGAGTAGATATTGGAAGCATGTGTATGTATACAATTTTATGAACAGCAAGAACATGATGTTTGAGGAGGAAGTAAAATACATGCATGCTAGTTTTCTTTTGTGTCTCTCCAGGGCTCTGGTTCAGTGGCTGAGATGAACAACTTACTGGACAATATTGCAAAGGCAACAATAGAGGTATTCCAGCAGTCTGCCGACTTGAACAATAATTCTTCTAATTCTGGAATGGGCCTCTTCAACCCAAATGGGATTGCAACTACTGATGCTGGTAGCACAAGGCAGAATGGAATAAAGACATTTCTAAGGTATTTGTTTTTCTGCAGTTTTATTGGGCTACCATTACTTTGTCCCATGTGATGGTATATTTTTATTTGCATGATGCAGTTATTTTTCAGAAAGCTTCAGCAATGTGAAGAAATTACTTGCAAGTGTCAATTATCGTTATTTTATAATATATTAAAGGGCAATATTCTGGGATGAATGATGTCTCAGTTTTAACCATGTCCAGAATCTTGAAACCACATATGACACCCAGAGTGGATTAATTTCTTTATTGTCTCCTTAAGGCTACTCTGTTCCATAGAATTCATTATATAGGAAACACTTTCTGCCATCTTTATTAATTGCCAGTTTTGCACAAATAATAATCGTGATAGACTGATTTGTATTTCATCATTTGGGTAGAAAGTATAACTAATGAATTTTAAAAGTTAAAAAAAAATTTGTTATTGTGTTAAAACATAATCAGCACATTTCATATCTTATCCATGACATAAAAGTGTGTTGCCTGTTGTACAGGACTATGACTAATCAGAGAGCCAGAATCATAGAAGAACACCAGCACAGATTAATAACTTTTGTTATAGTATTCTCCCAGAACCCGATGTTTTATCTCTTTCCACAGTGAGAGTGGAAAAGTGTATCCACCTGTCTGCTTTGGTAAGAGGAAAGATAGTACAGAAATAAAAGGGAAGGTTTAGTGTGATTGGTGCTTGTTACGCATGGAAGTTTTGCCCTGGAGTTTCTGTTATAACAGTGAGAGCAGAGGAAGAGGATGCCTCCTCGTGTATAACACCTATTTCTGGTTTTAGTTCCTCTGAACGCAGGGGTGTATGGCTGGTGGCCCCCCTAATTGCCAGGCTGCCGACCTCTGTGCAAGGAAGAGTATTGAAAGCTGCAGGAGAGGAACTGGAGAAGGGACAGCACTTGGGCTCTTCTTCAAAAAAGGAAAGAGACAGACAAAAACAGAAAAGGTACGGCTGCAAGGTGTGTCTCAATGTGGAGGCTTAAGGAATAATTGAGAACAAATAGCATCTTGCAGATATAGTCACTGTACCCAGAGTCCACGGACATTTCTTTTTTATTTTTTTTAAATGTTATTTTTTAGAGGGAGTATGTAAATAGCGGGGAGGGGCAAACGAAGGGGGAAGGGGAGAGAGAGAGAATGAGAATGAAAATGAGAATGACAATGAATCTTCTATGGGGCTGAATCCCATGACCCTGGGATCATGACCTGAGCCGAAACCAGGAGTCGTGTGCTTAACTGACTGAGCCACCCAGGCGCCCCTGAAATTTCATTTTTAAGTGGAAATGACAATATTCTGTTAGGCAAGGCTCCGTTCCTAAAAAGTTCTAGGTTATATTTAGTATGCTAGTTCTCAGGGCTCCCTCTGGACCCACATCACTTCTGAGCCATTGAAAATACTTCTTAGCCTCGCTTCAGACCTCTTGAATCAGATCTGTATATCCATTTAGTCCCTGTATTCTACACTTAATTACTTTTCATTCTTTTAATTATTTGTTTAAAATACATAGAATTATTTCCAATTCTGTCCTCTTGGGCCTGAAAATAGTTACTAGTATTTTTAACATTTAGGGCTCTTGTTCTAAATATAAAATTTATAAGCCACTTAGTTTAATGTTTTCTTAATTTATTTTAGGCTGTATAAAAGGTTTCAAATAGTTACATTTGCAAACTGACTCTGTTACTGAGAAAGAACAAAGCCATCCTCTGATGTGAAAATATAAATTTAGCACCTCAGGAGTAAAGGGAAATAATGATAATTTCTTCCATTTAGAAAATATATAAAGAACATGTATGGTTCTTATCTCTTAATACTGTTTTAGTAGCTACCACTTATTGAGATCTTATGAAATGCCAACTTTTGTATAAAACTTACCGCATACACACGTGAACTTTAAAATTTTCACAGCAATCAAACATGGTAGGTGTTCTCATTATACCCTTGTTACGATAAAGAAAGGGAGGCATTGAAAAGTTCATTTCTCAAGGACACACAGCTAAGGAATTGTAAAACTAGAGTTAAAACCTAGGTGGTCTGGCTTCTGAGTCTGTGTGCTCTTAAATGAAGTGCACTTTGGTAGAGACCTAGCTTTGCATGTATTTTGTTATCTGGTTGTTTAATGTCTGTCACCTTCGTCAGTGTGAGTTGACCAACCAGATGACTCACTTTTAATTCTGAGAGTTAAGTTTGCTCAAGGGTGAATGTATGTACATTGCCTCCCTTCCCACAGATGGTATTATAGAGTTTAAAGGTGACTCTTCCCAAGTCCGTCTCTCACAGCTCTGCTGTCAGAGGATGAAGCACATTGAAATATTTGGGTCACTTTAAGAATTTTTTTTTTTTTTTTTTTTTTTTTTTTTTTTTTTTTTTTTTTTTTTTTTTTTTTTTTGCAATATAGCAATTAGTTTGTCAATATGATTTGTCAGTTCTCTGATGATTAAAGAAACATTAATAAAATGACAGTTTATAATAGACCTTTTTTTTTTAATCAAATGCCTTAAAACCTGTTAACAAGACAAGGCTTAAGGACATGGTGGGTTACTAAGGAGCTCACTGCTCTTGTATCTTCCAGCCTACGGTGCTGATCTGAGTTCTCCCAATACCCACCCTGTTTGGTCAGAAATGTGCTGAGGGTGCCTCGGTGCCTCAGTTGGTTAGGAGTCTGACTTCGGCCCGGGTCATTATCTCACAGTTCGTGAGTCGGAGCCCCGCATCAGGCTCTGTGCTGACGGCTTGTAGCCTGGAGCCTTCTCTGGACTCTGTGTCTCCTTCAACTTCTGCTCCTCCCCTGCTCACAGTCTGTCTCGTTCTCTTTCAAAAATACACAAACATTAAGAAAAAAAAAAATGTGCTGAAAAATAAAACAAGCTCAGCAATCACAGAGGCCTGTTTCCTTGACCCTGAGATAACAGTTTTGTTTGACAGAAATGTTTAATTTTTCCTCATATGCTGTATGTAAAGTGATACTCATGCAGATATTTGCCTTTTAATTCAGCCAACTATTGTAAAATACAAACTCTCTTCTGCCTGCACTCTCCCAACATGCTCCTGCAGTGTGAATTTATGCTAGTTTGGGAATGCCTTCCAGGGCTAGAGCATGTTAAATTGTTTAGATGCATCACAGTGGCTTTTGATCTTATTAGTAGAGATATGATTTAACTTTTCAAGTAGGGTTTGGCTATTTCCTACTCTCTTCCCTTTTCTTATAATAAAGTAAATAAGAGCCAGTAATTCAAGGGCAAGAGATAGATGTTGCACAGGAGGTAATCCATTCTTTCTAACTAGATCTGTTCTTACTACTTCCTTTGTAGTATGTCTCTTTTGAGTCAACAACCTTTCCTCTCACTGGTCCTTACCTGCCTTAAGGGACAAGATGAACAACGGGAAGGCCTCCTAACATCTCTTCAGAATCAGGTTAATCAGGTAAAGTATACTGGAATTATTAAGCCAGTCAAGTACTTGTCTAATGGCATTAATTTGTTTTTCTTTGAAATACTGAGATTAAACTAATAAGAATACAACGTGTTTTGATTAGAGGCAAGGCATCACAATCCACACCCTATTCTGCTGTTTGGCATTCTAGTTACTGTAAAATTAACAACTTTATAATATTAATTATGCCTTGGATGAATGTGTACTATAAAGACAATATTTAGTGCATTGCATACAACTCTGACATACCTGCTTTTCTCCTGCCCCCGCCCTGTGGGAGAGGTCCTGGGGCAGTGTGTGTTGCAGGCATGGCCGTAACCCAGAGGAACCTCTATCCAGGTTCTCTAGCTGGGCCCCTGCCTCCCTGGAGACTCTTGGCTTGAGTTCTGTCGGTTCAGAAACTCAATTTTGTTTTCTTGCCAGAGCCAGGCCAATGCCAGTTAAATGTAAAGAAGCTCATTTATAAATAAGGCATGATGATTCTTTTTATGAAAAATTTGACTTTTGGCTTTCTACCAACCACAGTGCTCCTGGTCACTCTTTGGGCCACTTGCATTTTGTGTCCTTCAAAGAAACCAGGTGATCACACTAGAAATCGTAATGGGTGGAATTGAACAAAGTAGATAGACTGGTCATGTGGGATGTTTTATCCTGCTACAAAGCCAAATGGAGACTTCCTGTGGCCCTGTGTCTCTAGGACATCATGTCTTTCTCTCGAATGATAGTAGATGAGCATGAATAAGGACACTTAACTCATTTGGTCCTATCATCATTTTCTCCCCTTTGGAGATGAGAGATCTGTCCTTTGTACAGCAGTGGAGTGATCCTTCTAAAATGTAAATCATGTATTAGTCTGGTGCCCAAGATGCTCCAATGTTTCTTACTGTACCTAGGATAAATATTCGGTCTGGGCTTATAAGGGCCTATGGTGATTTGGCCCTGGCTCCCACTTCTGCCTTGTTTCCTACCAGTCATGCCTCCACTGTTTACACTGACCCCATTACTGTCATTGCAACTTGCCAGGCAGATTATCCTTGCAGCGCCTTTGCATCTTTTCTTCGCCTTGCATGGAGGGCTTTCCTCCCAGATGTTATCAGGGTCGGCTCCCTTGCTTCCTCAGGTCTCTGCTCAGGTGTCCCCTCCTCATGGAGGCTGTCCCTGATCACTCGCCAAAAAAAGGACCACGGTCATTTTGTATCCCCTTGCCCTGGTTCATACAGCTTGTTACATTTGACTTAATTTTATTTGTCCTGTTCCCAGAATGTATGCTGTCATACAGCTTTATGTCCCTGCCTTGCACCGTCAGGTCAGGTTTGGGAGAGGACTCCATTGTGATGAGATTCGAGGAATGCTGTCCCCTCACCACGCCGTGTCCTTATATGTGTTGGGCAGGGTTACTTCTGCACGTGACTCATTTAAACTCTTAAGATGATTCTCTGTAGTTAATGTATTTCAGAGCATCCCAGTCGGAGAAAGGGCTTTGCTCTTGCCATCTGATTCTAGGGTGTTGCCACTTGTGGCTTCCCTTTCCTAAGCAGTCCTTCCCTTTTTAACAGTAGTCTGACTTAGTGAAAAGCAGTACATCACTGGACTGACATCAAAGATGTCATATTTTTCAAAATACTATACACTGCCTTTATCAAGGAAGATACACTGTATAGATAAGTCTGTAAGATAGCAAGCCCCCCCTTCAATATAACATGAAAATAGGACCCTTGTTAAATGTCATAGCACGTCCCTAGAAATAGAACACAGGACTGATATAAAGTGTAATTTTGTCTATCCAGTACTTTACAAAATCAATGAAATAGCATTTTAAGTATCTTTATTTTTGTTAGTTTTTAACTTCATAATCCTTTAAAGCTTTTTCTAAGACTTCCTAACAGAATTGTAAATTGATAAGAGTTTTCTTCTTCCATCTAGAAAGGCATTGAACAAGAAATAGCTCCATTTCTGTCTGTGTGGAAGAAGGGAAGGAAAGTTAAAATTTTACTTAGCTTTTTTAATTAATTTTTTAAACTCAGAAGTTATTCTTGACAGTAAGAAGCACAATGTAACTTTCAATATGAGAAAAAAAAATCAATTTTCATAGGGAAAATAAGTTTTGTTTTTTTGTTAATTTACTGACTTAGATTTTAAGTAATTGGAGAGAAGAACGATACCAGGATGACATAAAAGCACGGCAGATGATGCATGAAGCATTGCAACTTCGCCTAAATTTGGTAAGGGGCATTTTTCTAGTATTTTCTCTCTGTTCCACTTAACTAAATGTGAAAATAACTCTAGCTTTCCACTTCTTCTGTGGTCATGGTCTTCTCACAAGGTGAGACCTTCCACTATTGGTTCTCTCTCTCTGCCATAACTTCCCTGCCTTTCACGCGCACTGTTCTCCTGGCTGCTGACCTTCCTGTCTGGGCTGGCTTCTAGAGAGCAATAGGCATTTTGGGCATTGGTTTGCTTTCTGCACCCTCCTGCCCCCCGGGAATTGCTCCTTCTTGTCAGTTGGTGCTCTGAGGAGGTCTGAGAAGGCTACTAAATTGAGAGGAATTAGCTTTTATTACACTCATTTGAAGATCATGTAAAAATGTGCCTTAAGTTGAATTTTTGGCAAACTTTCCATCACATTGATCATAAAAACAAATTCAACAGGGAGGTTTTATAGACATTTACAGACACATTGCACATTTCTTTGAATTTCTCTTTTCCCACTGGACAAGCCTGAATGAAGGCTACTCTGGAGGAAGGATTGCCTGATTTTTGGCAGTTGTTTTTAAACTTAATTTCCACACATGAATGCGTAGACCTGGGGGCCCAGCCGAGCCCCTGCTTGTCAGTTCTTCTGTGTTACTGGATATTTGCAAGTGTTGTTATGACAACAGACTTAGATCCAATAGTAATTTAACAGCATCAAGTGTAGATAATCAACTTACCTGATTTTGACCTATTCAGATTTAACTAATTTTATGTCATAAAACCAGGTATCACAAAAGGTTAGGATTAAAAGAAAAGTAATTTCCCTATTATTTGATTCTTATTGGCCTCCTGCCCACACTCACGTTCCTCCTCTCCTCTTCCCTCCCCTTTTTTTCAATGACCAAATTCCTATGCTGAAAGAATCATAAAGAGTGAGAAATAGGTAGCTAGGTAAGAGAGAAGACACGTTAATCCATAAAGCGGAGTGTGTTTGTTTTTTAAAAAAAAAAATCAAAATTGGCTGCATAAAGTGATGGGGATGGCATTTGTAATAAAGTTTTGTTGTATTTTTTTGTGCTAGGTAGGAGGAATGTTTGACACGGTGCAGAGGAGCACCCAGTGGACAACAGACTGGGCCCTCCTCCTGCTTCAGATCATAACTTCTGGAACTGTTGACATGCACACTAACAAGTATGTTCTTATTTCAAATTTACTATTCTGTACACGTGCATGGTAGAAGCTTTGCAATAGTGACTACAAATTGTGCCACATCTTATTCTCTAGGTACCATCAAAAGCTCTGTGCCTTAAATAAAAATGCTCCTTCGTTAAGAGTATTTGGCTTTTACTTTATAGTGAAAATAATTATTTCTTCCCACTCTTAGTGAATTATTCACAACAGTTCTTGACATGCTGGGTGTGTTAATCAATGGAACATTAGCCTCAGACCTATCAAATGCATCCCCCGGGGGATCTGAAGAGAACAAACGTGCATACATGAATTTAGTAAAGAAACTGAAGGTAAGCTTATGACCTGCTTATATATCATGATCTCAAATAGTTTATGCATTTGTTATTTACTGCATTTTATCTTAATTTATTATGTGTTAAATTAGATGTTATTTATTGCATTCAGTTAAAATTATGTGATTATTTTGCTATTTGTCTCACCTCAGCTTGCTGGTACTCAAAAGCATATAGCTTGAAGGTATTTCTTAAATTATATTCACAAAATGTTTAACTTTTTAAGGAACTTTAGAAATGTAAGTCAAATATATAAGAAAAATGCCGCCGTTGGATTTAAGATAAATCCATGCTTGGACTGGTGCCTCTAATTGAAAAATAACCATTTGCACTGATATTTCTAAACCCAATTCATTTGACTAACCGCTAACACAATTTTTGAAATAAACTGTAAACAAATGGTGCAGAGAAAGATCAATATATCTGCCGACCTTACCAGTAAAATAACCAGTGAGTATCTTGAGGTCTGACCCTGGATTGGAGCATGTGTTCTGTGCTGCTGCTTCTGCCTTCTGATGGCAAATACTACCCTGGATTTTTGTCACTTCAGCACTGTGATGTTTGTTGTGTAACCAGGGTTCCATTATGTGTGTTCTATTTTCTACTTAAATAGAAGAAATGAAACATACTCACTACTCTAATTGAAAGCTGCATAATCGACCATGTTCAAGGTTAAAGAACAGTCTTGTCATAAAAAAGGAAATGTTTCAGAGAGAAACTTCCTTCTTGCTAACTTTTGCCTTCATTGTAATTTCTGTCCCACTTGTCTCTTTTTGTTTTTTTTTTTTGTTTGTTTGTTTTTTAGAAAGAGCTAGGAGACAAGAGATCAGAAAGTATTGACAAAGTTCGACAGTTGCTACCTTTGCCAAAACAGACATGTGATGTCATTACTTGTGAACCTATGGGTTCCTTGATTGACACAAAGGGAAACAAAATTGCTGGATTCGACTCCATAGATAAAAAACAGGCAAGAGTAAATGTTTGTTTCTTATATATATTTTTTCTTATTTTCCCAAAGGGTATATGAAATATCTCAATTTTACAGTTTCTTGATTTTTTTTTTTAAGTATTTTCTTATCCTTTAAATGCATTGGTCATGGACATTATTATATAGATCTTTGTTTAAAACTTTATGTGAGGGGCACCTGGTGGCTCAGTTGGTTGAGTGTCCGACTTCAGCTCAGGTCGTGATCTGCCATCTAGTGAGTTCGATCCCTGCGTCGGGCTCTGTGCTGACAGCTCAGAGGCTGGAGCCTGCTTTGGATTCTGTGTCTCCCTCTCTCTCTGCCCCCAACCCACTCGAATTCTGTCTCTCTCTCAAAAATAAATAAACATTAAAAAAAATTAAAAAAAACTTTATGTGAATTTCTGAAGCCACCAAGGGAAAACTAAGTGAAAGGTTAGTGTTTAAAAGAAAAAAGAAAAGAGAAAAAAAAAAAAGGCAGGGGGTGCCTGGGTGACTCAGTGGGTTGAGCATCCGACTCTTGATTTCCACTCAGGCCAGGATCTCATGGTCATGAGATCAAGCCTTTCCTTTCAGTTTAGAATTGGAAACAATGTATATATATAGATAAGAAAAAATTGATTGATAAAGTCTTTATGTTGTAAGCTATTTTGAGTAAAAAATATTTTTAGAGTAATGTTACTTAATTTTCTCATCAATTAAACAATATTTTAACAAACACTTGTTTTATGTATGCTATTAAACAAGTTTCCCTTAAACACAAGAAGAGTGATCAGTTATTCTTTCAATGAACATTGAGCAACCACAAATTTGTGAAATCACAGATATGAAAGACAGAGCTCCTGCCCTTAAGCAGAAGTGGATAGACAATTACCATGTGGTACACAGTGTTAGGGGACCCTGAGAAGGAGCCATCACACTCAGATAAGGAGTAGGTAGTCAGAATAGGGTCTCCAGGAAAACTGAGCGTTGAATTATTTTGAAAGATTAAGAGTTAGCTAGGAAGTAGGGAACAGTCTGGTACAGGCCAATGGAAGAGTTTTTGCAAAGGTATGAAGGAGTGTGGTTCCTAGGAGAAAGGCAATACTTAATTAATTCACAGTAACTAGAGTACTTCTACCAGTATGGTTGTAGAGATGGAAAAAGCTAGCATTGTGGGCATGTTGATTTTGCAGTGTCATTGGGCTCTCTAGTGGTGAGACATCTTGAACCCATTAGGATATATGGTCTTTGCACCTAGGAAAGAGGTCTAAACTCTAGGCAAGTATTAGGAAACAGTCCATTTATACATGATAAATGAGCCTTCATTTTGCATAAATCCATCCACGTAGATAAGAACAGGAGCATTCGTATCTTGTGGAATGCCTGAGTAGTTATTTTTGTGGTTATTCTGAGGAAAAATATTTTCAAGTTGGTATCCCAGGGAAAGTACAAGAGACATCACCAATTAATGTTAAAAATAAGAAACCTTTGTTTTCAGAAGCATAGTAACATCTCCTCTTGTTAACTCATTAGAGGTAATCTTGTATTGAAGGGACTTTATTTGTACCTGTTGTCACAAGTTATGTCTGTAAGAATATTCCCTAACTATTCAGAAACTGGCTTATTAAGTACATGGAAGATTCCTGTATTGAATCAAGTCCATACATGTTTGGATTGAAGTAAATTTGAGCCCAAGTAGAGGTTGACAATAACTTGACTCTCAAGTTTTGCTTTATCTTAAAAACAACAAAATAAATTGCAAATGCTTGTAACTGATTATAATTCAATACAGTAAGATCAATATTGCAGTATTTTTTAGAAAATATTTTTTCCTGAAAAACAACAGCAGCAAAAAATACTAAATGAAAAGCACCATTTTATTTGTTTATTCATTCATTCATTCATTCATTCATTCATATTAAGTTTATTTTTGAGAGAGAGAGAGCGCATGCGTGTGAGTGGGGGAGGGGCAGAGAGAGAGAAGAAATGGAGAGAGAATCCAAAAAATCTCGTGAACTCACGAACCGGGAAATCATGACCTGAGCTGAAGTCAAGTTAGATGCTCAACTGACTGAGCCACCAGGTACACCGAAAAATACCAATTTGCAGTAATATATACTCAACCACGTGGTGTTGAGCATCACATGTATAAAGAACCACAGAACTGACTTTAAAGGTCTGAATTCTAGCTGCAGCTTTCCAGTGATGTAGCCTTGTAACCCTGAATCAATGTGTTTCCCCATGTGCTGTATGCTAGGGTTCTCTAAGGCATGCAGCCAGCCAGAATATTCTGTGTATCCTTGTCCTAAGCAAGCTTGGGCTCTCGGTCAGGGAAAGATCTGAACGTGTGTTCACAGAGCATTATTTCACCACAGGGTCTTCAGGTGTCTACAAAGCAGAAGGTGTCCCCATGGGATTTGTTTGAGGGTCAGAAGAACCCAGCTCCTCTGTCTTGGGCCTGGTTCGGGACTGTCCGAGTGGACCGAAAGGTGATCAAGTACGAGGAGCAGCATCACCTGCTGTTGTATCACACACACCCCATGCCCAAGCCCCGAAGTTACTACCTCGAACCGCTGCCCCTGCCTCCCGAGGAGGAAGAGGAGGAGCCCACATCTCCCATCTCTCAGGAACCAGAGCGGAAATCAGCTGAGCTGTCAGATCAGGGAAAAACCGCAACAGATGAAGAGAAGAAAACAAAAGGAAGGAAGCGCAAGACGAAATCAAGCTCAAGAGTTGACGTGAGTGTGAGAAGTAGGGAGGTCTTTGGCTCATTGGCATCTAGTGAGAGATTTAATAGTGCCCAGATTCTTTTCCTAGAAACATTATGAAGAGCATTATCATCCTTCTTGTAACAGTTGTAATCTTCACAAAGCTCTATTTTAATTAATAGAATGGCACATGAATAGTGACTTGTCACAGAGGACAGGATTATAGCTTGTGATTTTTTTCCTTCTCTACTTTTCACTATTTTAAGTTTGGGCTTCCATTGTGAGTAGTATTTAATTAATATTTCAGTGCCTCATCGTTTCTCACATTTGAAACTTGAATTGTTTAGACCCGTAAAAGCTCATCATCTTACATATTTTTATTATAAGACATGTCGAAAATACTTACCGTATTTTGAGCACTTGATAATGGTAGTAGATTAATATGGAAAACTATTTGCATTTCCCTAGCTAACATTCCATCTAATATATCCAATAGGATGTTTCTGAGATTTCATATTTTACTATTTCACCTTAACTTCCTATATATTTTACCTCTTTCACAGATTTTCAGACTTTATAAAAGATGAACACAATTTTAAAAAGTCCTGTTCCTTGTTTTCCTATTAGTCTTCCCTACCTCTACCAACATTTTCTTGAAAACAACAGAAATCATTGAGATGGCAATTTGGGAATAATTTTATAACATTTATAGAGTGAATGTGTAAGGTATCTTTACAATTAATTCACCTAGAAAATACTTGAGAGAGAATTTACAACATTTTTCTACATAATGCAAGGGTATTCTTGTTGTACCGTGGAAGATATAATCATAATTGTATGTCTAATAATTATCTAATAGGGTTAGGGTTATGTCTAATAATTATGTCTAATAATTATCATGTCTAATAATTATCACTTACCTATATCAGAACCACAACGTATCTTTTCCTAGCTGATAGCTTGGTGATTAACATTTTTCTAGGGAAGACGACCATCGCTTTTGGATACCATTGAATGGTAGTGCCCTCTTCTCATACCTTCTACCAATATTCTTCCTACCAATATTCCTTTGTCTTGAAGAGGTGCTTAATAAGGTCCAGACTGCCACTCCCCAGAATCTGGACTCCTAGGCTGTTAGTCTACATGGATAAGTTTCTGTTATTTTCAGAATAACACCCTCTTAAAAGCCTGAAAATTCCTCTCATTTTCCAAGTGAGCCCTGGTAATATCCCTTCCTCCCATACTACTTCTGAAACTGTCCCTTTCTAGTGGGTTGTATTTCAGGGATCTGAGGTTTTGTTTTTCCTTTATCCTTTAGGGCTACATGGAAAGAAGCGGGGTGGGTAGGTAACTGGGACATTCAGGTGTGATCCTTAGAGACTTTGCATGTCCCATAAGGAAGACAAAGCCCAAGTGCAGGAAATGGGAAGCAGGCAGATGGCAGAGAGTCTGCTTCATTTGTGTACTGGCTTGAATAGTGGAAATAAGATACCATCTAGGCCAGGGACTGGTCCTGAAGTATTGTGCGTCTTTATGGCCTCATTCTCATCCAGACCCAGCATATCGAGAAAGATTCCTAAAATGACCTAAGATGAAATGATCTGGAGAATGAGCATCTGAAGATGTTCTTTCACCTGTGGGCAGTGGTCAATATTGACGTGCTTTTAGTATTTTAAAAACAAACTTCAGAAGTGATCCTTTTCCATCTTCCCCCCACTGAAGCCAAGTACATTTTTTTCTGCCAAACATTGACAAACTTTACTATAGGGGGTTTAAATAAAAAAAGTGCATAGACAAAAAGGTGTTTAGGAAACTTGCTACAATACCTACATCCTGGGTCCCCAGGGAAGCAAGGGAGCGATTACTGGGTAGGCTAGAGGGGTAGAGGCACGGTGTTTGCCACCTGCATGCCCATACCCACCCCGAACATAATAGTTCTGGTGACATGTTCTGCAGGGGACTAGGGAGCCCCAGACTAGGGGCAAGATGGAAGCAGGGGGTGTGGTGGGCAGCCTTGGGGCTTTAGTTAAGGAACCGACAGAAGTGCTTGGTGCCATCGTCTTAGGGCAATTTGTTGCTGGCATCCGCAACGGGGAATTTGTAGCCATAGGTGAGTTCCTCAGCACACAGGATGCAGGGCAGGGCAAAGATGTTGATGTGTTCCTGGCCCTCCGCCTGGATCACTTGGGAGGGGCAGTTGGGCTCACCTAAGTGGTTGATGAAGTGGCAGCATTGCCATGCCTTGTGGCCTCCACCGTGTCAAAGCCATCTATAGAGAACATGTAGCACCTAATACCCTTCCCATCATAAAACTTCTGCTTGTCAGCACAGAATGAATGACAGTACCAGTGTACTCAATGACCATCCCGTCGGCATCGAAGTTTTGTTTAAAAAATAGGCCCGTCCCATGGATGGCATATCTGTAGACATCCACACAGCCTCTTTGGATGTCTTCTTGAGTGCATGGCCACGGGCAGCTCCAGGCTGGCAGCATGTCTGGTTGATCTGAGCTGCACCTCATCCTCTTCCTCATCCCGGGTGGTCTCCCTCAGGGAGCATCAGGTGCTAGGATGCCAGGAAGTTCAACATGTCAAAGATGCACTTCCGGACATAGACCTCTGCACAGGCCACCCTGTGGGGATTTAGGGGTCGAAGCCAAGTACTTTCTTATTCTAAAGTTTTTACCCAAATGAGTGTCTTGCAAAAGAATATGTTGACACTCTTGCCTTGTGTCTTCACCTCTATAAAAAACAGCCTTGCTCACTGGGATAGAAGCTGGCTTGAAGAATGTGATAGGAGGAATTTGCATTAATTACCTATAGTTTGTGGAGTTAAATAACTTTATTGTTATTATCTTTTCTCTTTATTTTGAAGGAGTATCCACAGAGCAACATATACCGAGTGCCTCCTAACTACTCACCCATTTCCTCCCAGATGATGCACCATCCGCAGTCCACCTTATGGGGCTATAACCTCATGGGTCAGCCCCAGCAGCCGGGTTTTTTTCTTCAGAACCAATCTCTTACTCCAGGTATGTGAAGAGAGAGTGCAGTCGGGTCCCTCTGAGACATGAAGTAGCTTGGGGTTTAACCGGAAATCTCTGTAAAACTTAGAAGATGCCATAACTGAGTACTCCGTTGACGTTTCTGTAATCCTCTCTGCTCGGAGTGGTTTTTCTTCTAATAATATGAAGGTGTTTTATTTTATTTTTTTAATGTTTCTTTTAATATATTTTTGATTGTCGCATAGATGAATATATTCTAAGAATCAAACAATACCTGAGCGTATACAGTAGTAATCCAATATGTGCCCAATTTGGGGGTGTTCCTCAAGTGTTAAAATAAGGTTTTAATTACTAGTTTATGTACTGAGTTGGGAATTTTCATTCAGTGTTAGAAGGAAATTAGCTACTGATGAAAATGTACAATATCCGATAAAAAGTTGATAAGAGTTGTATGTTGTGAAATTTGTGTATGTTTTGATGAGATAAAATTCTTACCAGTGTTTTAAGTAATTAGTCAATATTGTGAAGCATCTTTATTTTCTCATGTGATGAATTGTAAATTGCTTATACCATGAAGGATCTCAGAAATTTAGTTCAGCAAGTAGACTGAGTTATCAAACAAGGAAAACTACCATCTCTCTAATTTTAGTATTGCTTTAATTCCAGCCCAAGTATATTTTATATCTGAAATGAACATGTCCTAAATAAAAAAATCTCTTAGAACTGAATTTAATTTTCTTTCTAAAAGAAAATTTGCTTGTTTCAACAGAGTAGCTTATTTTGAGGTCTTACTCTGCATGTTATGATTTTTACTGTAATTAAAGTATGACATTTGAGGCCTAGGAAAGACATTTTTTTATTCTTGGCTCATGGGAGAATCCATATTTCGCCATCTAAATTAGTGGTTCAGAGGGCTGGTCTGGAAGTTATACATCTAGGTTCAAGTCTGGTTCTACCACTCTCCTACTGTATAACATTGGGTTTTGGTTTCTCTGTGCATCAGCTTGATTATCTGTAAAATGGATATGCTAATATATACCCTCATAGGGTAGGGGATTCAATTATTTATTCAACAAAATTTACTGAACTTCATAATGTTCCAGACTCTGTTTGGGGTGGTAAGAGACTATAGTAAAGAAAATGGATAAAAATGTTCATTCTTCTTTGAGTGATGAAATAAGGTTTATATCATACACATACACACAGAGTATAACTTAAAATTGTTTTTAACGTTTATTTTTGAGAGAGAGAGACATAGTGTGAGTGGGGGAGGGACATAGAGGGAGACACAGAATCTGAAGCAGGCCTCAGGCTCTGAGCTGTCCACACAGAGCCCAATGCAGGACTCGAACCCACAAACCGATATGCGAGATCATGACCTGAGCCGGAGTTGGACGTTTAACCAACTGAACCACCCAGGAGCCCCTAAAGTAAACTTTTGAAAATGTAGCACACAGAAGATGATCTAACCCAGCAAACATGCTCAGTAAAAGATCTTAACATATTCCTACCTCAGGGCTTTTGCACCTGCTGGCTCCTGTGCCTGTAGTGCTCATCCTTAAGTATTTTACATGGCTCACTGCCTCCCTCCTATGGGTTTGGTCAGATACCATTTTCTCACTGGGCTTCCACTGACCGCTCTGTTTTAAATGGTAAGCCACAGCCCTTCCCTGAACCCTGTTTCCCTCTGCTTTCTATTTCCCCGTGGCATTAGCATTTGGTTATACACTATATATTTTACTTACTTACTGGTTTATTATCTGTCCTTTTCAGAATGTAAGCTCTGGTAGGGCAGGCATTTTTTCTGTTAAGGTTACTGTAGTCTCCTGAGAACTTAAAGCAGCCTCTGGCTTTTAGTAAGCTCTTAAAAATTGGTTCTTGAGTGAATGAATGTAGACCACAAAGAGCGAACTAGACAATAATAAATGTGGAAAATAATGCATGTTCTCTCTTTTGAACTTTATTTTTTCAGTTCTAAGGTTCTTGTGAATTTGTAGCATTTTTAAACACCAGGGCTGTGTGAATTAAAGGTTCACTGTTTCATAATGACATATACTCTCTTTCCCTTAGAATACTATAAGCAGGGTTTATAAGTTAAGGAACCTTAGGTATTAGGTGAGTTTTAAGGATGTGTAAGAAAAAATATTAAGGAAAATGAAGACACATAGGGATTTTATATGTGTGATTTTTTTTTTAAATATGAGTCCTGGGGCGCCTGGGTGGCGCAGTCGGTTAAGCGTCCGACTTCAGCCAGGTCACGATCTCGTGGTCTGTGAGTTCGAGCCCCGCGTCAGGCTCTGGGCTGATGGCTCAGAGCCTGGAGCCTGTTTCCGATTCTGTGTCTCCCTGTCTCTCTGCCCCCTCCCCCATTCATGCTCTCTCTCTCTCTGTCCCAAAAATAAATAAACGTTGAAAAAAAAAATTAAAAAAAAAAATAAAATATGAGTCCTATGAAGTTACAGAAGAGTATGTACAGTATGCTTTTCATTAATATATAGTTAAAATGCAAAGAATTATGCCCCCTCAGTATACACGTGCAGACATATACCCAGCCACTCGCCCTTCTACAATTTGTCTTTCTTTGTCATGTATACATGCCGGTTTGGTAAAGTTATAAGGAAATGTTAACATTTGGTGAGAGAAAGAAGGTGAGAAAAGTAATTAGGAATATGCAGAGGGCTTCAGGGATAGTTACTTTATTTCTTTAGTTGGCTCAAAGGTACAAAATTATAGAAACGTTAGGAAAATTCAAACAACGTGAAATGTAGTCTGGTCCTTAGAGTTTCCTTTATCTGTAAAATGAGCTCATTAAGTTTTTACGTATTAGTATAGTTCCAGTTCTTCAATAAAATTTACCTTGCCGTATGTTACCTGAGTTGACTTTCCTCTTTTTTCCAAATGTGCTTCAAATGCTGCTGAATGACTTCATAAACCATGCTGCTGGCTGTGGGTTTGTGTCTTTAAAAGAATGTGGGTTTTTCAAGTGAATAGCTTTACAATGTTTCTTTCACCATACAACTTGTTTAAAAGAAAAAAGATAACACATCTCTTGGGAGATATTTATATAGAGGTTTTCTTACACATATAGTAAAGTATATAAAATCTGGTAAATGAAGGATTGGCACCTAGTTTTAAGCCAGCAAATGTTGAAAATTTTTTTCCCAAACTCTGAAAGGCATTTGACAAATTATATATGCAAATATGTTGAGGATTTCCTTTGGTTTCTCAAGGATCTCTACAAATAACATTTCTTGTTTGATTTCTGTCCTTCAAAAAAGATGTGTTTTGTCTTTGAGTCATGGTGTTTGAAGTTTCCAAGCCTTTCAAGTTTTCAAAGTATTTCTTGCGTCTCTTCTACAAAAGGGGCATTTTCATTTTGCTATCGTCACAAAACTTAAATATCATGAGCTTTAAATTTATTTGAGATTACAAAAGAGTTTCTATGACTGACTTAGGACGCCTGGCAAAATATACCATGAAGGCGGTACACTTTATGCAGGTAATGTGTTCCTGAAGGCCTTGCAGGGTTTAAAACCCACTTGGTTCCAAAATTACACCCTTGAGTCTGTTTCAGGGATTTCAGGTTATCAACTGAAGTGGGGCTTCTATGAAGTCACTGAAATACTATAATTCACTCCTACATCACTCCTCCCCATCATTTGGAAATTGTGCAGTTCTCCACAGACCTTTAATATTTATGTGGGGTGAGGCGGGCCTTATTTTCCATTTGCTCACAAAGGCTTAGAAGGTAAGGTTCCTGTGTTTTGATAAAACAAGGAAGAAGTGTTGTATTAACATGCACAGAGAACCCTTCTTTCTGGTTGCTTTGGTAGGTGGTTCTAGATTGGACCCCACGGGCTCCTTCGTCCCAACGAATACCAAACAAGCTCTGTCCAACATGCTGCAGCGGCGCTCGGGGGCCATGATGCAGCCGCCGCCCCTCCACGCCATCACATCGCAGCAGCAGCTGATACAGATGAAGCTTCTGCAGCAGCAGCAGCAGCAGCGGCTTCTCCGGCAAGCCCAGGCTCGACCTTTCCAGCAGGTTTGTCCAGATCCAGCAATGGAGTCCTCTGTGTTTTGGTAGCGCCTCTAGTTGGGGATGAGTGTGGGGTATGTGGCATATCCCTCCTGCCTGTGTATCCCCGAAATCGTATATGAGTGCAGGCTTGCCTCTCCTCCAGGCTTGTAAATACTTTTCCTCCCGTGTATTTTGCTATTATCACTGATCAGATGAGAACTTTGGAAGTATCTTAAGTTCATTAAAAGTATGCCTTTAGAACAAAAACAAGGGCTGATGACTTTCTAGTCACTTAGAAGCAGCAGGTTTTTCATCCTTGTAGTGACCCTCGCTGAGCCCTCTTTCCCTATAATTAGCACCATATTCTGTACTCCTTCGAGCTTTACTTTCATGTATTTTTAGTAGATTTATTACCCTGAAGTTGTATCTCTAAAATCCTGATGGTTCTTAGGTTTCTCCCTGTAGTTCCCTGCATAGATTCTACGTTCAGTATGTGCTTAATAGTAAGACCTATAGCAAAGAATATAGTACAAATAATAGTCAGTGTATAGATACCTTCAATTTCATTCTTGAATTCATACTGCTGTTTTTATGCCTTCTAACTCAATTGTCTTTAACTTTTGAGATGACAGTGATTGTTTTACAAGACAATGGTGGCCATCATACACAGCATAGTTATTGGCTCATGAAGCCCACACGTCTGTACAAATAAATAAAATAGAAAAGGAGGTGAAATTGGGACTTTTTTTTTTAAGCCAGTTTCTACATACTTTTAGTACTTTGCAATTTTGCTAAAAAATATTAGTGATGATGATAATAGCAGCTAACACCAGTAGAGCACTTACTATTTGCCAAAACATTTCTAAGCCCTTTAAATGTGTTAGTTATCTTAGATCCCACAATAACCCACAACAACGCTGTGATTTAGGTACTTTCTTGAACCTCAAAGGAAGTAGCCAATCTGCATGTGTATCCTGCTTTAAAAGAAACCATAAAACTTTCAGATGAGCAAGAAATTTTAATGCTTCTACAAATATTCTTTGTATTTTGGATAACTTTCTAGGCATGTGTCCATTATATAACTTAGGACATTTTTGCAGTCAGTCCATCCACTTAGTGATTTGGGCGTTTGAGGGTGGGAGGGTTAGTTATATATTCTTAAAAATGGTTTTGTTTTTTACCTATATTATAAGGACAGGGAAGACGAAACTAGTTCAATTGTATGGGGATGCAAAGCCCAGTCACTGCATGCTTTTCTCTTTCAGACCTCTAGCAATTGCTCAAACTCCCTGGGTGTTAGGTAAGGGGCCTGAGTTGCTTCTTACACAGAAATGATGAGGATTGGATATCAAGAAATAGTTATTTTGTTTAAATAAGCAGCAATTTTAAAACGTGAGCCATTAAAAACCTCAGTAGGATTTTAGCTATTCTTGGGGATGAACAAAAATATAGTATTGTTTCAAGTCCTTGTCAAGATTATACAAAAAACTTGCTGTACATTGAGTAACCATCCCCACAGCATGAATTCAGTTCCCTTTTAATTTAATGTACAACTAAGTAAAACTTGCCTTCCAATAAGTTTATTTTTTTATGTCTACTTTTTGTTTCTTTTTATGGAGAGAGAGAGAGAGTGAGAGCATGAGTCAGGGAAGGATGGAGAGAAAGGGAGAGAATTCAAAGCAGGCTCCGCACTGTCAGCACAGAGCCTGATGCAGGGCTTGACTCATAAACCGTGAGATCATGACCTGAGCTGAAATCGAGTCAGACACTTATCCGACTTAGCCACCCAGGCACTCCTCTTTTTCTGATTCTTTTTGCTAACTCCTTTTTTCCCCTTTTTTTTCTTTTTCTTGTTACTCTTTTATTATTTTTTTTTAATATTTCTTAATGATTGTTTATTTTTGAGGGGGAGAAAGGAATAGACAGGGAGACAGAGGATCCAAAGCAGGCTCTGTGCTGATAGCAGAGAGCCCAACGTTGGGTCAAACCCACAAATCGTAAGATCATGACCTGAGCCGAAGTCGGACGCTTAACCGACTAAGCCACCCGCCCTTCCTGTTACCCTTTTTGTTTTACCATTCTTCAAGTGTTAGATATTTGAGGGGAAATAACATTTTTTTTTTAAGGAAGAGACATACATGCATGGTGCAGTGGTATGGTTGAATGGTCCTACACAAAGTCAGTGAGATTATACGTAGCATTTGTCAGAGTGCCTGTACCTAGGAGGTCCCGAGGAAATGTTAGTTCCTCTCCTTTCATGTACAAACTATTAATATACCTGGATTCTAGTTAAATCTGGTATTGTGGCAGAAAAAAATTCTGTGGTAATCCTTAAAAAACTAGAATAAGAGCAGAATGATTTGGAATATTTGTGATGTTGATAAATTGTTTTAATGTATGGTTCTGGATGCAGTTGTTTTTCTAATAAGTACTCACTTATGTCCTTCGTGATAAGAAATGATGGAGAAATGTTCATTCTCATTTTGGCCAGGACCCAGTTAAATGCCTACACATAATGTGATTCTCTCTAGCTACATAAGCACTTGTGATATCTTTTTCTCTTGTGAAATAGAAATCATTGATCTTCTTATCCTTAGCAATTCTTTAATTCTGGGAATCCATTAACTTAAGTGTAACAAACATGTTGGAGAATTTCAGACATCAGGTCTTATACTCTGTATCATGTTTACATGGTAGTGAGCGGAGGGTAGAAATTTATGAAAGGCTTATCAAACGAATGTATGTTTTGGGAAACTATTTCCAGGATCCTAGAGCTTCCTAGTAGCCTTAATCCTTAGCAGTCTGATTTTAATCCACAAACTCCTCTCAGCCATCCTTCTAGTGCTTCCAGAATCTGCTTCCAGCAGTGATCTCTACTGTGGTTCTTCTGAAAACCTAGCTGGGGCATGACAGGATGTAAATTCCTGGATTCTGGATATGTCTCATACCTTATGGAACCCTCTTTGCCTCTTCCCATCTTAATGGAAACAAGGTGATATATATAGGAGTCATCCAGCCTTAGATGGTGCACAAGAAAACTTCAGTTCCATTATAAATTAACTCTGTGTCCACTGCAGAAACTGAATATCAGCCTCAGTTGGTCATGGAAGTTTCTGTTATGGATCATTCTTATATTTCCTAAAGAACGTATTAAGACATTGGTATAGTGTCCAGAAAACAAATGCTTAAATAGCATGGATATTGTTAAGTCTTTTTAATCACATTATCTGGTGTAATGGTTGTAATTGAGTGTATTTTCTTAGAGCTTTACTACCTATCAGTATGCATAAAGATATGTTGGCAAGGAAACTTGCTTTCATTGTTTTTAGTTAGTCTTCATCCAGGAAAATAAAAGTGATCTGCTTCCCATCCCTTACTTGATGTCCCTTATCTAAATGGGACTCAGTGCCGTGATTGTGTTGCCCTTTTGTGCCTCAGAGCCTCATCTATACAGTGGAGCCAATGCAGTATTTACGTTACAGAGTTCTTGTGAAATTAATGTTTTAATACATGTAACAGCCCTTTACAACAGTGGCCGGCTCATAGTAAGTGCTCAAAAAATGTTAGCTGTCATACTTGTTGTTGCTGTTTTGTTAGTATCATTTTATGGATGTATTATTTCAAAGGACATCTCTATCACATAAAAATCTTTATTTTCCTAAAAACAGATGAAAAGAGAATTAAGAGCACATCCAGTGCTTTACTTGTATCATCATATTAATTGTCCCTAATAAGACTGGTGCTCAGTGGCTGCCCATGGAAGAGGCCAGTAAGAAGGAATGTTGTTTACTTTTCCACATAGCCATTTTGGTTTCTTAAAGTGGTATATTTTTACTGTCTAATTTTGTAATACAAACTTTCGAGGGGATAATTCCAACTGTAGTGTTAAAAATATCGCTGTTATATTTTCTACATATCCTATGGGAAGCATCACAAAATCTAAAATATTGGTGAAAATAATGCAAAATGCTGCTTAAATTGTTTTCCAGTCTCTTTTTTAGAGCCAATATTTTTCTTCTGACAGGAGGAACTTGCTTTCCTCACCCCCACTGTATCAATATTCTAGGGAAGGGTCTTTTGGAGGGCATCCTTAAGTTTTGGTCCATGGAAAGGACTTAATTGTTTGCCTTGATTTGTGGTATAGCTTTATCCTAATTTCCCCATTTTAGTGCACAAAACCCCTTTGTTGTTCTTTGTAATACTCAACACCAGCCAACTTATCTTAAGGAAGACAATACATGTAGCTTTCTTGATTAACTGTCTTTATTTAAAGAAAGACAATATATGTAGTTTAAATTGGCTGAGACAAATTTGGAAGAAGGCAATTGGTGATAGGCTACAGATAATCATATGGATATTGATGACATTGAAGAGGAAGATTTCTGACAGAGGACAGAAATGGTGTGCCCAGTTAGAGCTAGTGGTTACTTTAAGAACATTACATTATTAACCACAGGGCAGGTGCCATCAATGTGTATCTAAGTGAAGGAATTAGATCACTTACTAAAAGAACAATGACTGAGTCAGAGCCTCCCAGAGCAGTGAGCTCCCTGGCAAAAGTGAATTTGTAACACCCTGAAAACTTGCCTCTTGGATTGATGAAACCCATTTAAGTTGAATGACCACCCTTTATATGGTAATTGATCTCCTACCCTAGGGATGTGGCATCACCTTGGAATTTCTGAGTCCTTCCTTTATTCTCTCCCTCCCTCCCTCTCTAGTGGTATATTTCAAACATACAAGAATAGAAAATAGAACAAACACTAATGGATTTACTACCTAGCTTTACTGAATAATCCTGAAAAATTCCGCTCATATTTGCTCTAGATCATCTAAGAAAATAAAAATAAAACAGTGTGTGTACCCTGGTTTCCCTTTTTTCCTATAAAGAGGTAATCACTCTCGTAAATTTAGTGCTTTTCTTTCTCATCAGTGTTTTTATGTTTCTGTATATTTTTGCAACCATCAACATAAACATATATTACTTTCGGAATTGAAACTTAGTATGATGGTTTCACACATAT